AAATACTCTCCAACTCAGTTTATAAGGACTTTATAACACTAATACCAACATCGAACAATGACATAGTGATGGAGGAAAAAATACAGTCTCATTTCACTTATGAATACAGAAGCAAAAATCATAAATAGAACATTGGACTTGCAAATTAAATTCTACAGTTTATAAAAATGCTAATAAACCATGACAAAGCTGGGCTTAATGCAAAGTTGGTTTAATGTTAGAAAAATCTAGAAATGTAATTTACTGTACTACCATATTAAAGGAGAAAATATGTATCATTCCAACAGATCTAGGTACGACATTTTTAAAAATCATAGTAAGTTCATTGTTAAAGAAAGAAATCTTTCAGCAAATGAGGAATAGAAGGGAATGTGTTTAGCATGATACAAAGCACATATAAAAAATTAAGCAAATGTAGTCTTAAGTTGGGAAAACACTAGAATATTAGCTTTTAAAATCGAGAATGAGGCAGAGATGTTTAGGATCACCACATCTTTAATCCTCGCAGTGGACATTCTTGCCAGGACATTACCTTAAAAAAATAATAATAATCATTCAGAGGTAGAAGGACTGGAAATAAGAAATAAAATTATCACTATATGCAGCTGATAGGATCATTTACATAGAAAACCCAAGGAATCTACAAACACCTAGGAATAATAGGAGAATTTCACAAGGGAGCTCAATAGAAGATTAATATAAAACAATGAATTGTTGTTTCATACCCCAACAACAAAAATAATTAAAAAGAAGATATGATTTACAATAGCATTAGAGGACATCCATCATCTAGGAATAAATCTAACAAAAGATGAATTACAACCACTGCAGGGAAAATCAGAAACTTTCAGGAAGACCCAAACAACGGAGGGCTATGCCAAGTTCACCTAAGGAAAGATTTGGTTCTCTCCAAATTAATTTACAGAGAAGTTCTGATCGAAATCCAAAAGGCTGTTTTTGGGGAAGAACCTGATAAACAGATTCTAATACATATGAAAGAGTAAAGAGCAGAGAAGAGGCAGGCTACTTTTCTGAAGAAAATTAGGGTCTTCCCTTGTCCTACCCATATCGGGACTTAGAAGCTGCAGTAGATGAGACAGCAGCAAAGGCCCTGGGGTACACAGGATGACCAGCAGACAGAGTCCAGGAACAGACCCACATTTATACAAAATGTTGGCATATGACAGGATGGCATTTCAGATCAGAGGGAAAGGGGAGGCTACACAGTAAACAGAATGGGAAAGTGGTTATCTGTGTGAAAAATATATGACATTGGATCAGTGCCAGTTACTCACCCTGGTCTCTAAGTTCCAACCCCACACTTCCAGACTCTTCTCTATAATGCTGGGGAGAGTGTGTGTTTGCTCCATTATGGGAAAATATTCAATTCTTCTACAGAGGCCAAGAAAAGCAAACACGTTGGGCAGAATTCATCAGCTGTGTTCACTATAGATAATACGTAAACAAGTCTTGCGAGACATTGGCAGAATTCAGATAAGCTAAAAGTAGGTAGCCAGTTTTTAATCTGCAAAGACATGTAAAAATAAAATCAATGGAATATTTTGTAAAAATGGAATGAGCAAGAGTACTACTTACGGGTGGAAAGGTATAGAAAGATTAAGTCACCATAGGGTAGAGAGCATACCACCTCAGGGCTGACAACCAGGTCATTATCTACCTAAATTGTCTGCCTGTTGGTGACACAATTCTGGTCCCTGTAGGCTCTGCCCCAGAAATGCTAACAAAGGGGATAGCTGCACAGAACACTGACGAACTCTGTGAGGAGTAGACCTGGACCAGGCCTACCTGCCCTTGCACTGCCCAACAGAGCAAGTGGTGGCGGCATTGTTGGCTCCAACCATGTTCCATCTACTGATCACTTACCTAACTTCAGTTCTGGTCCTCACAACCATACCATTGGAGCAGAACGGAAGACTGGGGTTCTTTCACCTGGCTTGCTCCCTATCCCATGCAGACTAACCTACCCCAACTCTTTCCTCTTCTTTCTGGCTGTATGTTTTAAACGGATTCAATAACCTTTGTGACCTGATCATCGTAATTTGGCCTGAGACTTCTGGCTCTGTGGTCCCTAGAGCTGGTCTATGGCATAGCCAGAGGCTCCCACTTCATGGAACTAATGTCCCACTAGACACTGGGGCCTGGAATTCACACGCCATATTTCCTAGACCCCCTTTCCTATGGGTTTCCAGTTAGGTATTGCCAAGAGGAGGCACTGGAGAGAGACTGGGAGGCGGGAAGAGGAAGGAACAGACTCCCTTCTGACTTTAAGTCCTTGTGACCTCCCTGTGGCATCTGAACACCTCTGCCACCAAGGCTCCCTTCCTTATTCAACTGGGATCTGAACCCTGAGAGTTTTTAAAGAACCCAAACAAGTTTGCAACATGGGAAAAGGGTGTTGATTCTATAATACGAAATCAAAAAATCAAAATGAACAAAAGTTGTATTTATTATCCATAAAAGGTAAACTTAGCCAACTTGTAAGCCACAATTCAACTCTAACAGTTTTATATAAATGTAATAAAGTTTGAATTATAAGAACCAAATGAAGTATACACTTTAAAACTCAAAAAATTTTTTAAATCATTTCCTTTTTTTTTACATCAGAGAAGTTATATTTAACATGGAATGCAAGTCTATTTTAAATTGCTTGATATGATGTGTGTGTGTTGAGGCTGAGATGGAGCAACGTGCCACAGTAAAAATGGTCATGACCTAGAGGTCTGTAAAGGGCCTTACAGAGCCTCTCACTCTGGATCTTTCTGTGGCACCCTCCACTATGAGCAGTGTAGTCACCATCCTCTTCTAGCACCAGATTAAGTGGTGAAGTAGGGGGCAGAGACACCAACGGGCAGCCAAGAAAGTCTAGAGCTTTGAGGAGACTTGAGAACTTACCTCTATCTGACCGTGACGAAACAGGGGAAAACAGGAAACAGGAAACAGACCCTGAGGCAGGGGCCCCAGGATGGACTCCTCTCCAGTGGTCGGACCCAACCAGAGTGTGCGAGTGGTGAGGCCAAGCTTGTGTGTGCTTGAAGTGGTGTGTCTCGATGACTCTGGAAAATAGGAAGGGTAACCACTTATCCCCTAATGGCACAAGTGTGGTGCAGACCAGAGAAGAAGAGCTCTGGTTTCTCAGAGGCAGGGATGTGCTGGTTTCCCATCCCTTTACTCCTATTTTTCCTCCCGGAAGTCTGCCCTCTACTTTGCACCCAGCGTGTCTTCTTTCTAAACTGGGGCTTCTTGAACTTAGTGTGCATAAGAATCCCGGATACTGCCTATGAAATTTCAAATTCCGGACCCTAACCTTGATTCTGTGTAGACCACGCTTTTAGAAGGTCTGCACCAAAGCTAGTTGAGAAATTCAGGTGCTAGAGACAAGTTCTTTTCTGTCTCCTGTGGGCCAGCTAGGGAAGACAAACGATATTTGAAATAACCAGAAGAAAAGGCAAAGAGTGAAGGAAGAGCCGTATAAGCCAAATTGGTTTTCCTATCTAACAAGGGTTAGAACCCCCCATTTTGTTCAGGACCTCTCATTGGGTGTGAAGCAGCCCCAGCCCCTGGAGCCGAGAAAGTTGGGGGGGCAGCTAAGAAGGGGAGTGGGAGAGGAGCTCTCCTCTTTTCTTTATTATGGGGAGTCCCAAGGACAAATGCCTGATTTTAAAATGTATTTTTCAGCCTTTTCTGTCTCTAGCTGCAGGCCTTTGAGACTACAGCGGTGATCAGATCTGAATCACCATTTACACTTTGAACAGATTCATTCTATACCATTGTGTTCTATCAAATTTGCATCTTAAGCCTTTGGTTTTACTGCGTGATGAAAGGCATTGTTTCCTACTTAAAGGAAAATTAGCCAACATGATCAGAATAGAGAGCTTTGGATTTTGTTTTTAGGCCTGGACTGACTTCTGTACAAACCAAATAATAGTAGATCAGAGAAGGACTGTAAAGATTAGTCTACTTTCATGATGCTAGGGAGTCTGCGGGCCAGTAAATCAGGAGAGATCAGAGGGAGCTGGTCTGACCTTCCTTCCCCCCTGCTCTGGCTGTGTGGCGCCCACATCATGGAAGACAGCGGACTGGGTATTCCTAACCCTGTGACTGCATTCGGGACCTCAAAACACATTCCGAGACTGTGGTTTATCTTATCCCCTCCCTGTTGCCATCATCTGCTCCTGCCTCGCCCTCTGTCCTCCAGCCTCTACCTCCCCCATCCAGACCAATCTGCGAGTAGGCTGACTGCCCAGCTCAGTTTACCAACTTCTAGAACAACTAGTGAGGAATATGGAGCTCCAGGATCAGTCAGGTAGTAGAGGGTGGGGTCAGGGAAGTCCTTTTCCTGAAGAAAGAGCAAGATAAAGCCTGCAGAGCCACAGACCCAGAGCTGGAGAGGGGGTGCCCGACAAAGAGCCTCCTAAGGGTGGGGAGAGTCCTTCGTCTTTATGATGATGGTGACCGGCTCAAACTATGTGGGAAATTAGGGACGGTCACAGGTAAAAGCCCTCCAAATTAACACAAATAGACAAATCCTGCAAGGTGGGGGGGGAGTGAGAAGAAAATCGACAAGGATGCTTTGGGCGGGTGAAATGAATGACTGCTACATTTATGTGTCCTGCTCAGTCTTTATGCTTCCTTACCATGCGGCACAGTCTCTGGTGTGACAGTCACGAAATGCAGCAGGCATGTGCCGAGTTTTACCTAATATTCAGTATGCTCACACTCGTAAACTCAGCTCCTCACAGCAAAGTCCTTCAGCAACACTGTTCTCGGCTTAAAGTTGAAAATAAAGGAAAACAAAAAGGAAAGAACACACACGGAACTCCCAGGAAACCTGCCCCGGCCACCGCCCCCACGCCCCCCTCCGCCCCGGCACCGGCCAGGCTGACACAAAGGGGTTAAAAGTTAAGTGGACGTTGAGCTTGAAGGAGTAAGACGGGCCTCTATATAAAGTTGAACGAGTCGTCTGGGGCCCACACAAACCTCCACCTTTTTTGGCCTCCACGGCGGCAACCCCGGCCCCTGCTAACGTCCTCCGCCTGTGGGACTGAGCGGGGAAGCTCACGGTAGTGGCGGCCAAGGAGAGGGGCCGGCCTTGCCAGGAATAAAGAGGGAGGGGAGGGGAAAAAGCCAGCTCGCCCACCCCGCTCCCGGGCGGAGGGCGGGGGCAGCGCGTCCCGCGGGCCGAGCGCGTCTCGGGCTGAGCGCATCTCTCCGGAGCGGCGCGGGAAGGATGCTGGTCGGCAGGGGCGCGCGCGCGGGGCGCGGGATGCCGCGGGGCTGGACCGCGCTCTGCCTGCTCAGTCTGCTGCGTGAGTACCGGCCGCGCGCCCGGGCGGCCGGGGTGGGTCCTCGCTCTCCCGCGGCCGAGCGCGCAGAGCCCCCGGGGCGCTGGGGGGAAGGGACCCCGACCCCCACTCACGCCCCACGCCCACGGCGGCTCCGGGCTCCGGCGCGACCCGGGCCCTTTGAACCGCGCCCCGCTGGGAGCGGCGCGTCACCTGGGAAGCGGCGGGGTGGACGGGCAGGGCAGAGGATCCCCGCCGCCAGGGTCAGCTCCCCCAAGGTGCGCGCCCTGGACTTCCCGGAGTCAGAGCTGTGAGACTCCTTGGAGTTGTTTCTAAAGTAAAGCGCTTCGAAGATGCCAGAGTCTGTTCGCGTCGCTAGAGGTGCGGAGCGCAAAATTGGAGCCAGAGCCAGGAGAGGGGAGGGGAGAGGAGAAGCAGGAAAGTTTTGCGTCTGGGAGTTGATTCCGAAAGCCCAGGCCTGAGAGGCTGCTGGGAAAAAAGCGCAGGCGCCCGCTCGACCACCGGGACAGGGCAAGTCTGAATTGGACCTTTAAGGAACGGGATCGAGGCCAGCCTGGGAAGAGGCCCCGGTTCCGAAGCCCTGGAGGCCCAGGAGTCCCGCTGAGTTAGATGACCAGGGGAGTGTGGAATGAAGAACAGACCTTGAAACGATCCTTGCCTTTAAGATGGGAAAGCTGAAATACAACTACCTCTTCCCACACCCACTCCCAATCCGCTGGAGAGAAGCTGGCGGCAGATGGAGTCTGTTCTGCGCGCTGCCTCCTTCTCCCCTGGCACCCCCAACCCTGGCACCAACTGAGACTTGTTACATTTGGGGGCTTTTTTCCGCCTCCCTCAACCCCCCCCACACCAAGTTCTAAAACTAGTGAATAGGTTAGCAGCCTAGTGGATGCCCTTCCACTCACCCACACTTGCCCCTACTCCTTAAGCTCTTGCTCTCACTTTGGTGAAGAGGTAATAGATGCTCAATAAATATTTATTCTTAATTGCTTTCATTTGAAGATAACGTTCTCCATCTCATCTCATTGCGTTTAGAAGCTCTTCAACTTGGTTGATTGTTCTCCCTTTCGCTCAAGATTTTGCTTCCAGCCCTCTAGGGCTCCCTACTCTTCCTCCATCCGAAAGGCCACCCACCAGGGCCCCACAGAGTGACCTGGGCCTGCCAGCTAGGCCCCTTTGCTCTCATTGTCCTCTGCTGTCCCCCTCTGTGCCCACACAGTTGGAGAGAAACTCCAGGCTTGAGAAAGCTCTAAGTTAGGCTCTGGGTTGACCAGTTTGGCAGCCGTGGACCTGTCGGGCAGGGAAAAAAGCTGTCATCGAGCTGATGAAGTCCTAGACCGGGGAACTCCCCTGGGTGCTAGAAGGTGCCCTCCCAGCAGGGGGGAGTTGATGAACAGCTGATCAAATGTTCCCCTCTCCTTTGGCTACACAGCTTGTGATGACCTGGTCCCGGGCCGAGTGAGGCCCACCTTTTTATATTTCCTCAGCTGGCCAGTTTCAGTCTTGCCTTGGCCCGTAGCAGGAAGTGGGGAAAGCGACTGAACTCTGGCAAAATCTGGACCAGATATGCTGAGAATTCCCCTGTCTCAGCTTTGGGGGTGACAGCTGGGGCATAGATCCCTATTTGCGATCTTGCCAGATATCTTGGGTCAGTCTGGAGCTTTACGTCTTCCCTGAGAACTTTCTAGGGTTTGTTTATTTTTTTTAATGCCAGGAGTCATTTTCTGTCCTGGTATACATCGTGGGACAAATGAGTGAGTGACCATAACCTTGAAATGCTAACCGAGGAATATGGCAGGAATTTCGTGTTGTTACTGCAAATTTTAGGGCATTGAGGGGTTGGTGGGTTTTGTGTCATGTACACTGACAGAGAGCTTTGTTCCTGGAGGTCTTTCTGTCCCCATGAGAAGTTGGCATAAGGATGGGCACAACAGTCAACCAAAAGTAGACTCCTCGTGCTGAGGACGGGCTGCTCTGGGCAGTGACCACAGTCAGAGTGGGAGCTCAGAGGCCACCAGGTAGCACTGCCATGCCACCAGCTGGGAGGAGAAGCTTTTCAGGGGATTAGGAAACCCCGTTTGTCAGGCTCAGCGTGTCTGTTCCCTCCAAGACCTCCAGGGCCTATCTTTCCTCTCGCCATAAGGACACCCCCCCCCACCGTCCCGCCCCTTCACATTCCTCTTCTTCCTTTGGGTCCTTCGTGTGTGCTGACCCCACACCCATATCCTGTCTGGGGCCACATGTAAGAGGGGAAAAAAGAAAAGGGAAAAGAATTTTATCAGATATTTTCCAGAAGAGAGAGGACTCCACCCTTTGAATCTCTGCCACATGGCAACTGAGGAGGAGCAGCCTTGGGGACCTCTGACTAATTCAGTGGCCCCCAGTAGTCCCCCTTGGAGGGTCGGTCCAGCTGGCAGCACCTTTGCTAATGCGAGTCCCCAGCAACATTCCTGTCTGACTGAGAAATCACACCCGGGCATCTTTTTTCTTATCCCTTTGGCCCCACTTCCTGGGCCTCCTTGCTTGCTTGTCCTCACCTCTTTGCTTCTCTGAGTCTTTTGTCTCCAAGAGCTCAGGGCAAAGAGTGCCAAACTGCAGCAGATAAACTCGGGCGCAGAGTCTTACAAAAACAAATTTTAAAAGGAGGAACAAATTCCACTTCGCGGGGCCTCGCTGACTGATTTCCTTTAGAGCCCGGGCAGGAGGGCCTGGGCTCACTTTCAGGCTGGATGGTTACTCAGCTCCGCTGAGGGCGCCTGGCCTCCCTCTCTCGTTGACGTTGCCTGATCTCACGAAATGGTCCCAAGTGTGGGGAAGTGAAAATGTGAAGGTGTAGAAAAAGAACAAAACACCACCCTCCAAAAGAAAACGCTCGGAGTTGCCAGGGCAGAATTTCCTATTTTTCTGGATTTTGACTTCTCTAATGAGAACATTCTCTTCCCTTCTCAGCTAAGAAATAAAAACACATTATCTATGATTTTTCATCCCGACGGCTCCTGACTTTGCTGAGGAGAAAGGGGCATGCATCCTGGGGGAGTGAGCTGCACACAAATAGGGGTGGACCGAGGTATCCTTCGTAGCACCTGTACTCTGTGGCCTGCCCACCCCCATCCCAGACCAATCTGCTTCCCTTTGGATGTGAAGGAAAAGGCCTTTTGGCTTAATTGGGAAGTCTGCTTCTTCTTGAAGTGGGGAAAAGACGCTAAGAACCCACAACTGATACCTTGGAGCAGAGCAGCACTCTAGATGGCCAGTAGAGTTGTTAAAGAAAATGTCTTGGGGCTCCTGGGTGGCTCAGTGAGTTAAGCCTCCATCTTTGGCTCAGGTCATGATCTCAGGGTCCTAGGATCGAGCCCCGCATCGGACTCTCTGCTCCACAGGGACCCTGCTTCCCCCTCTCTCTCTGCCTGCTTTTCTGCCTACTTGTGATCTCTGTCTGTCAAATAAATAAATAAAATCTTTAAAAAATTAAAAAAAAAAAAGAAAAGAAAATGCCTTAATGAATCCCTGGGTGAAAAAAAAAAAAAAAAAAAACAGGCCCTGGATATGCAGGGACAGACAGGAGACTGAGATGCTGAGTGGGATAAAAATTAAGTGGAACTTTGTGTTTAACGGGCCCAAGAGACACAGGCTGCAGGGATCCAGAGGCCAGAAGGAAGAGAGTGAGAGGAGGGGAGGTCCCTGAACCACCAAAGAAACAGTGGTGCCCAAGGGTGGAAAAGTTGCTTCAAGAAGAAACTCTCTGGTGTGACAGGGGTGCTTAACACAGTGACGTCTAAGGAGTTCAAGCTTATGCCATTGTCTCTTCTGGGTTGGGCTGTGAGCTGGCACCAGGCTCTCAAACCTTTGATAGACACACATTTGCCTGGTATTAGTGTGCTCTGGAAGAAAGGACTGGGTGCTTGGTTGGCACCAAGGAGAATGGCAGCAGCCTGAGGACAGGGAGGCACAGAGCTGCAGAAAAGGAGTCAATGGAGAATGAAGGAAGAGGGGACTGGGGGAAACAGTGGGCCCCCAGGGAAAGCTTGGAGCCTGGGGTTCCAGGGTGAGTAGGTGGGGGCCAAGACCAGCTACTTTCCTGTTAAAGGGGAGTCCCAGCCCGCTGGTAGCCCCAGGCCACAGACACTTGGTTTATGCTCACTTCTCAGCTTCGATTCAGAGGAACCGTAGAAAGGTGACAGGCGGGTTCTTTGTGCCAGTCCAAGATGCCCAATCTCAATGAAACACCTAACAAGGACACTTCCTCATTGCTCCCGGAAAAGGCGGGTGGCACTTCCCCAGTTCATTCCATTTAAAAACAAAACAAAACAGACAACAACAATAATAAAACGTTGTTTTCAGCTTTTCTTTGTATTAACATGAAGTTAGCTTTCTTGTATCTTCTAATCATTAACTTTCAATTCTTTTCTTAACTAGAATCAGTTAATCTTCAGGAACTTTTTTTTTTTTTAAGATTTTATTTATTTGAGAGAGAGAGCGAGAGCACACAAGCAGGGGGAGCAGGAGAGGGAAAGGGAGAAGCAGACTCCCCCTGAGCAGGGAGTCCTATGTTTGGCTGATCCTGGGACTCCAGGATCCTGACCTGACCCGAAGGCAGAAGCCTAACCCACTGAGCCACCCGGGCGCTCCGATCTTCAGTAACCTCTAATCTAATTCTATTCTTGGAACGAGCATAGAACGAATGTGATCTTTCTTCCTGACAATCCTTACGGATCTGTCTGGCCCCACTAGATGATAAACTCCCTGAGGACAGGGATTATTTAATTTGGCATGACACGCACCCCACACTGCAGGAAGGAATCTTCTCTTGTTCTTTGCTCCCCACAGCACTAAGCATGGTCCTTTATACATCACTGGTGCTTAGGACAAAAAATAAGTGTGACTAAGTAAGTGAAATGAGTCTTGAATAAAGTCTTAAATAAATTATTTATTCTCCCTCCCCAGATTCTTCTTTTCTGGATCAGAGGTTGGCAAACTTTTTCTGTCAAGAGCCACATAGTAAA